GCCAATGAACAAGGCAAATTAACCCCAAATTGGGAGGGACCCTACCGGATCTTTGAAGAAGTACGAGACGACACTTACCGCCTGGAAACTCCAGACGGAAGAAAGTTGCCTAGAACTTGGAATGTAGATAACCTCAAAAAATACATCTTTTGAAAATTTTCAAATGATTAATGAGAATTACATTCAATTTTGTATACATCCGCCATGTCTTGTGCCTACCACAAGCGGCACCAGTAACTAATTTTTTCATCCGGTGACACCCATACGGGTGAATTCATCGAAGAGAACATCTCCCATTTGGGTGGTAAATTGTTCTAAGCGATCACACAGGCGGACAAATCCGCCTGACGATCCTTCGCACCAAAAAAGGGCAGGCTAGCAACCCCAAACTTGGAAGGACAGCCGGTACTCAATACCGCCGCCTGACTCTCTAAGAGCAGGCCTAAAAACATTTGGTCTAGGCCATAATTCATTCAGGGGTATGCTTGCAAAAGCCCAACCGGTGAATGGACATCCTAATCTGGCGTGATTCTTTTGCGAAGTCCCGACCGGTAATTCAGTATAAACCGACTGGCTCCCAAATCTAATGTTGGCACTTAGTGTATATTCGAGCTATATCATATGGATAGTCGCCTGGCTTGCAAAGACCCAGACCGCTATCCAGGGGCAATTACCCAGACGCCATCCGGTTTGGTTTTGGGTCGAAATTTCTTCGCCTAGTTTGCGAAGACCCAGACGGCAGTGTTACCGGTGGGGTCTTCTTGGCAACCCTAGTAAATTTCTTCGCCTAGTTTGCGAAGACCCAGACGGCAGTGTTCCCGGTGGGGTCTTCTTGGCAACCCTAGTAAATTTCTTCGCCTAGTTTGCGAAGACCCAGACGGCAGTGTTACCGGTGGGGTCTTCTGGGCAACCCTTGCAAATTTCTTCGCCTAGTTGGCGAAGACCCAGACGGCAGTGTTACCGGTGGGGTCCTCTTGGCAACCTTTGCAAATTTCTTTTCTGTTTGCGAAGACCCAAGCGGTAGTGTTACCGGCGGGGTTCTTTTGGTTATCCTCGCAGAAATATGTATAAAAAAATAACAAGAATTCTAGTATTGAAGTGCAGAAACATAAAAAGCATTCAAAAGCCGGCTCAGCCGGTGAAAATGTTAATATTCAAAATAAAAATTATTACAGCTTAGCCCATCTCATCCGGTGCTATTACAAGATAATGCAAGGCGTGCAGCCGGGAAGTAGTTGCTACTCCAGGCGAACAGTGAACCGGTCCTCTTCCGGTTGGTTATGGGTTGGATCAGGGTGAGCGGCTGCGTCGGCTTCAGGAACAACTTCTTCCTCTTCAGCAGCCTCCGCCTGCCGTCGCGCAATCTCCTCCCTAACCCAAGCGTCATAGGGTCCGGGCCCCGGCTCATTCGCCTCCTCGGCCAGAATGGCAAGATCAGAATATTTGAAGGCGAGTTCCCAGACGGTGAAGTCCGCCTCCGGGTGGATGAGGGAAAACGCCCGTTGCATCCGGTTTGCACAGTCATGCTCATTCTCTTCAATGAGCCTCTCCTGCTCCGACTCCAAGGTGGCCTTGAAGTTCTCATTGGCAGCAGCCGCCTCTTTGCGCAGGCGCTCATTCTCTTTGGCAAGGCGGCCATTTTCAGTCTCCGCCTTGCTCAGCCGTTGGAGGGGCTCTTTCTGTTCCTCCAACTTTTTATTGGCATCATCCAGGGACGCCTTTAGTTGGTCAACTTGGTTTTTCAGCTGATCAATCTGCTGTTGGAGGGCCTTGGTCTTCTCCGCCTGTTCCATGCGTATAGATTTAGATTCTAAGCCATGCATGTACAAAGAGTAGTCAGCAACATTATGGGCGTCATCAACAGCCCGTTTGCTTCTCCTTACCTCTTCAGACTTGCGGGTATAAGCTCGTTTGAGCCCCTCTACGCGCAGCATAGCCTGCAAAAATACAGCCGGTTAATACTGCATATTTAAAAATGCACGTCAAGAAAATTACCGCATGGTTGTTGGAGCATACGTCGGCCAGGTCGACCAGCACCCGGTCGGCATTAAAGGAGTTGATCCCAGGGATCGCCTCCTTCTCGTCCCTGGGGACGGCTTTCAGCATGGCCCGGGCATATTGTGCCCCGTCCGGCCAGCGGGGAGAATTATCTGCACCAGAAACAGACGGTGAGAAACTCGCATATGCTCTGCCTATAGATTGCCGGCTGATTGGAGAATCCCCCGGCTGCGATCGAGACTGTGAATAAGACTTGACCCGCATGGGCAGGTCAAGCAGTATAAGGTCGAAGTTACCTTGGCGGCCCGAACGGCCTTCAGAGGGACCGGTTGCGGTCCTCAATGGGATGGCAGAAAGCACATCCGCAGATCCAGGCCCGCCTGGGACCTTTATTGATTTGCCGCCGGTAGTTTGCCGGTCGGCTGTCTTCTGCACCTTGGATGCAGACTCTTGTTGGGTCGGCGGAGGCCTGACCTGTTTTTGAAGGGACCGGGGCATCTGCTTCCCGTCCTGTAAACGAGAAAAATATAAGTTATGGGATAAAAGGATTGAAATAAACGAGAAGGATCAGACGGTTATACCTTCCTCGCCGCCTGGGCAGCAAGTTTTTTCTCGAGATTGGCTTTCCGGATGTCGGCAGCCGACCTAGCCGGTGTCTTCTCGGTGGGCAGCATTTTCTTGGCTTCTTCTGCAGAGGAAGGGACACGGTTAGAATAATGAATAAGCAAGGAAATAAAATCATCCGGTTCGAAAGAAACCGGCTGAGTTCCGAATACATACGTTTTTTAAACATGCTGCTTAGACCACAAGCGGACAAGAAGCATTCGTCCCTAAAAAATTCATGTTTGGGCACCCAGTTTCTAGGTACCCTTACTATCTCTCCGGATGAGAGGGTGTCAGGAACTAACTCAAAAAACCCGGAGTCAAGGATGGTCTCTCTATCATCCTCCGGGACAGGGGGCAGGCAGCACTTGGTCCCCAAGAGTTCTGGTTTCCGGTTGTAGATCCGGAATTCTCTGTTCTCTGCCGTAGTTGGGGCCTTAACCAAGTAGAACCGGTGCTTCCAGTCCGACCATTTAGATGGCTTGTCCAAGGTCATAAGGTATTTGGGCTGGGTGGTCAAGGTATACCAGGCTCTCCAGCCGCCTGGGCTCCTACTCAAGTAATGCATGTGGGCAAACGCCTCCCAGCCGGGGTTGAGGCCCTGCATCTCGCAGGCGGCGATATACCCTAAAATATTTACCCATGAGTTGGGGGTTAATTGCCAGAGACCTAGGCCATACCCCCTAAGTATGGCTTTTATTGTGTCGTGGAGAGGGAAGCGGACTCCGGCCACGAAGGCCGCCTCGTAGCACCCGAACCAAGCGTTCGCGTTCGGTTGTCCATCCTCCCACCATATTGTTCCCAGAGCAGCCGGGATTTTTATTGTATAGTCACCCCCCAGCGGCCGCCGTTTGATAAAATTTGGCAGCGCAGCCCGCATGAGCTCGCGGTCCTTAGAGGAGACGGCGATCATGAGAGGATCGTTCCTATTATCCCAAGAAGACCTCTCCGCCTCCTCGCTATCCTCATATTCGGTTAAGTAGCTGCTACTGCTACTTTGAACGTGACCGGCATCAGAGCCGGCTGGGGAGTTGGAGACCTCCTTATCAGAGCCTACCTGCTCTCTGGTCTCCTGGAGGGGAGCAGTCTCTTCGTTTAAAATGCTATCACCCGGGGTGCTAGGAGCGCCCCCGGGTGAGCCTCTCTGCTCTACCTCTCCTTGCTCTACTTCACCGCCTGAAGCTGGGACCTCAGGCGGCTGCTCATCTGAGCTCCCACTTCTGTAGTTGGGATCTCTGGCAGTAGACCGGATTCTGGCCATTGTGTCCTGCACAGACACAGAGTCGGTCGATATGGGTGTTGAAAAAGGGTTGTCCCAAAGAACAGAGGCGGCAGACCCAGTTCTAGACTCAGCCGTACTAATAAACCGGCTGAGTTCACAGCTAGGTTCCGGGTATGGGTATAAGGGGTCCATCTACTTATGGGACCAATGAACAAAAATGCGAGTAAAAGACTCAAACGGAAATACATGAAAAAGCTAGAAAGAATAGAGACGGTACCTAGAAGAAAATCTGGAAATTCTTTGGGATGCTTGCGAAGACGCAGGCGGTTCAAAATCCGGCTGGGTTTCTCTGATTACCCTCTCGAAAACCTTTGGCTAGCTTACAACGACCCAGACGGTCTGTAGACCGGTTGCTCTCAACGAATCTCAACTCCGAATGCTCTAACTCTCAAATTGCCGGCTGCTCTCAAATTTTCAGAAATTTGGCAAAGTTTGTAAATGAGAGCTCGGGGGACATCTTCTCCTATTTATAGAATTTGTCCCAGAAGGTGAAAAGTCGTGACTCTTCGCCTTCTGCTTTTCCATCCTTCAAAAAGAATCTGAAGAGTTGTAAAAAAAAAAAAAAAAAAAAAAAAAAACCTTTCACCGGCGCCACGTGGCACCCTGCCACGTCAGCACCAGTGAGGGGCAAATGTTTGGGGTAAAAATACCCTAAACACGTGGCCCAATGGCCTAGTGACACGTGGCATCCAGCCGTTGGTCAGCAGGGCTCCAATCCTCTGCTGACACGTGTCCTCTAAACCCTAAAAGGGAAACCATCCCTTCCCCACTATAAATAGTGGAAGGACCCTCATTAATGGGAGGCTGGAACATTTGTTGTTCACATTGAATACTCCTCAAAAAGAAAAACACTTACCCCGAGCAATATTAATTGCAGAATTCTCCCATTACGCGAGAAGTAACTTCTACATTACGTGCATTCTACCTCCCGTATCTTTACTAACTTGATCGTCGGAGGCGGAGCTCCTACCCCCAGGAGTCTTCGTGATTTTGCAGGCACAGGCGTCGAAGGGCATTCTTGGAATTGTAACTCTCCCGCAGGACACATCAAAAAACCCCGAAACATTTTCAAACATGATTTTTAAACTTAAAGTTTTCAAGAAAACCAAATAAAGTATAACAAGTCTAAATGCCTAATTAACTATTACATACCGAAATAAAGTCTTAACAAATTACAAAACACAATTAAAAAGAAACAAATGTATTTAAAGTAACAATCTCTTGAATCTTCTCATATTCCCAGAAGAAAGCTGTTGTACATGGGTCATGGGTGTCCATAACTGCTGCAAAAAAAAAAATATAACAAAATAAAACAATTAAAAAGGCAACTCAAGAACAACCAAATCATCAAGAACAACAAATCAACAACATCTCAGGAAAAACAACCAAAACAACAAGAACAAATCAGTAAGAAAGCAACAAAAATTAGCAAGAAATCAACAACAAATCAGCAAAAATCAGCAAGAATCAAGAACAACAAATCACCAACAAATCAGCGCAAAACAAAAATTAAAAAGACATGCACAATACTTTTTCCCGTCAAACAACAAATCAGCAAAAAAATTATCATATTACGATTATTAACCAAGAACCTCAACACAATCGAATACAAAAACTGAAATAATTTTTTTTTTTTAAAAAAACAACGAAAAAGTAAAATAGAAAATTACCTTAGAAGCAGAGGAAGATTTGAAGATGAAGGTGAAAGATTTAAAGATGGAGAATTGCAGATCGACCGAAAAGTCTAGTTGAGGATATGAACAACAAATCAACAACAACAAAAAATGTTAATCTTAATATCTGATTTGCAAATGTTAGAAAAAGAAAACAAAAATATAAATTAAACAACAAGTCAACAACAAATTTATCGATCTACTGATCTACCCTTTCCCGTAAAAAAAACAAATCAAAAATAGAAATTAACAACAAAAATATTACGCATATTAAGATTATTATCAAGCAAGAACAACAACAAAAATAAACAGCAAAAACTGTATTTAAAAAATTAAAAAAATCAAAACTAAAACAAAAACAATTAACAGAAAATTACCTTTGAGCTTTGACGGCTTGGAGGAGAAGTTGGAGAACTGGTGATCATTCAAAAAAATCGAAAATAGAGGATTTGAGATCGAAAAAACAACCGAAACGAAAACAAAAACAATTAACTAAAAGTTTAAAAATTACCTTTGATCTATTAAGAGCTGAGACGTTAAGCTTGATTGCTTGAAACGATTTAGGGTTAGGGTTTTGAGGAGAAACAGAGAAATTGAGAATGAAATTTTTGAAGAGAGGGAAATGTGAAAACGACTGAGATGAGAGGCTGAGAGAATGAGAGTGAGAGTGAGTGTTAGGGTTTCTAGCTTAATATAAGAGACTTACTATTTTTGTTTAAAGATTTGGGCTTAGGGTTTGGGGCCTTGGGCTAGTAGTAGTTTTAGTGTTTTTTTAAGACTTTTTTTTAAGGTCGGGTTCGGGTTGACCCGACCCGAATCCGACCTGATTTTGACCCCAAAATAATTTCGGGTTAAGTGGGTCATTTTCGGGTTGAAATTTTCAACCTTAACCTAAACCATTTAATTTTGAGTCGGGTTCGTGTCAATCCATTTAAGTTTTCGGGTTGAAAATCTCAACCCAAACCTGCTATTTTCAGATCGGGTTTTCGAGTCGGGTCAGTTTTTACCAGCCCTAATAGGACATATATGAAATTTAGCAAAATCTTTCTACTGTAAAACTGTCCTTTAGAGCATGTGCAATGGAGAGGATTCACCCTCCTCTTAGCCTTCTCTCTCCTCTTAAGAGGAATCCCGTTCATTGTAGAGGTGAAATGGGGAGTCCTCTTAGGAAGAGGAATATGGTAAATCCTCTTTGGGAAGAGGAAGAAGAGATGGGGAAGGGGATTGGAAAAGGTGGGGAAGGGGACAAGCAAGAGCGACGTGGCAGCTTCCTGCCGGCTGGCCGGGCTGGCAGGGGCCCACGTGTTGCTTGCTTTTGCTGACATTTGTTGTTTTGTAATTAGTTGACATTTACAACGGTTAAAATTATTCAAACGATAATAAAAAAAACGGTAACTTATTAAAAAAAACGGTTATATATATTTTTTTTTCTCTATAAAATGAACCTAAATTCTCCTTTTATAAAAGTATAGATATTTGGCGGCAAAACGTTCCAACTGCTCTTCATACACTCCGTACTTCGTACTTAGTTAGGGTTCCATCACTTTTACACTTCCACTGTCTCAGCTCCTCCCCAAATTCCTTCTTCTCTCTCTCCAATCTTCGGTGAATGTTTCAATGGCGGAAATAGCAGGAGAAGCTCCAGTAATGGCGAATTCGCCGATGATCAAGCCAATTAATAAGAGCGTGGTGCATAAAATTTGTGCGGGACAAGTAATTTTGGACCTTTCCTCTGCCATTAAAGAACTCGTTGAGAACAGCTTGGATGCTGGCGCAACGAGCATCGAGATCGCGCTCAAGGATTACGGCGAAGAGTGGTTCCAAGTTATTGACAATGGTTGCGGCATTTCCCCCAACAATTTTAAGGTCTGCCTTTTAATTTCTTCAATGTTTGTAAGAATTCTTGCTAATTGTTGTAGTATTGAATTTTTTTTGTTTATATAATTAACTCTTTATGGTTATTTTTTCTTTGTATCTTTACTAAATTTTGTGATATTAATGGTTATTTATGTCATTATGGTAGTGGTATTTCACTCAGGTTTTATAGCTCATGTAATCGTATTCATGCTATACGGGCGTTTGGTATGTGGAAATGAGAATATGAGGATTATAGTGTGTGATTGGGCATGCAAATTTGTGGGTGGGAATTCGTTGAATTGTTGCTCATTTAAATGGTTTGGGTAGTGAAGGAAATAAATTGGAGATACATTACAAATTCAACCAAACGCTCTTATAATTCACTTGACCTTTCCTTATCAGTTTTGGTATTTTATCCTCTAGGCAGTAATAACATGATAGTCGAGGCCATTATTTCCCATTCCCATTCCCAAACCCACCTCCATTTCCTATCCCCACCTTATAACCATGGGAATTAATTCAAATTTGGATAAAAAAATCTCACTTCATGAACATTAAACAAACACACCTAAGTCATTTCTTTGGATGGTGAATGCTATGTACACATAAAGATTTTGGAGGTTTTGTCTCATTGTTTTCAATTGGCAATATTAACTCAAGGGTGTATTGTTATCCCACTTTGGGATGTGAACAATTTTGTTTGATTTATGATGCAATTATAATGTATACAAGCTTTTTCATTGCCTGTAGGTTTATTCTTTTAATGTCTCATATGTTTATTGAGCTACAATTATTGATCCTACAACTCTATGATTTTCCCATCTCTCCTCCTCCTGGATGTAGGATGGATAGGTGAAAAAATACACTCGATCTTTAGTTTCGGATTGGTCAATTATGTCACAGTTGTCATTTGTCGCTGTCTAATTGATCGATTTTTTTAGCTGTTTTATATATAGCAAGAGATTTGTGAAAGTTAATGAAGCTTGATCAAGATGTGCTACTTTTGAAATTTAGAAGGACAACCTTTTTTTCCATGTACCAAAAGTTAGGCTACTTTGGATTGTCATACTATATTCTCAAGTTAAAATTCACTCCCCTCCTTTTTTCCTATATGAACCCATGTACTATAGACTCTTGTTTATAAAAGAGTTAAGGAAGAGAGAAAGTAAAGACGAGAGTTGCTATAAGAAAAAGATGGATATAGTAAGAAGATAAAGTAAAAAGTTGGGTGGGTGTAAGGATAAGGTGGATAAAGTAAGAGAGAGTTAAAAGGTATAAATATTGTGTATCAAAGGAGGTAAGATGGTAAGATATGTTTGCTAAAAATAGAATAAAGTTGAAGTGAGTGCATAATAAACACCTCAAGATGGAAAGTGGGTACATAAAATAGAAAAGATACATAATCTATGAATGATATTTATGGATAAACTATATGTTTCAGAAATGATTTATCAGCTTAATTTGAGGAAAGTTTCAAGCAATAGCCAACGTTGTAAACTCTGAAGTTTTATGTACCCAAGGGTGGAAAAAATGTCTCCCCACTCCCCTCCCCCTCTTCACGAATAACAGTCAGGTCTTGGTCTTATTGAACTGTTGAGTATCAACTAGTAAACCATAACTATTTGAAGACTATGAAAATATGTTAATATATAGGCAAGAATAGCTGAGTAACTTGTGAAAAGCATGTGAACATGTCAATTCTATCAAATGAATTGACACACATGGCATGCATATAATGGGGATGATGCCGCTTTTTATAATCTTTATACTTAAAAAAAGAAAAAGGTTGTGGATCAATTTCTTGCATAAATACTCTTAGTGGCTTTGGCTTGGGAATTATTATTGGTGATTTAGCTGAAAATGTTGATGAATAAATTTTGTTAAGGTGAGTAAATTATGTTGTGTGAAGAGGATCTCAAGTTTTGACTCTCCTTGTCTTTCATTTTATTGTAACACCATTGTTTTTTAGGGTTCTGTATTACAGCAATAACAATATTGGTTGTAGTGTAGGCAATGTCTAAATGCTACTCCGTAACATGAAGGATATATTAATGTAGAGGAAGTAAAGGTTTTCATATGCAAATGCAAATAATGGTGGTGGAAGCATGGAGCTATTATTCTTTTGCAATAAAGGATCTTTGTTTCTCTTGCATGCCTTGTTGATAATTTATTTTTACAAATTTATTTATAGATATCCTGGCTTGGTAATGAGATACATTTGCGTTGGAGGGGTGGAGGGGGAGAAGGGATTTATGGTCTTCATATCTGTAATCAAGCAAAGAAACCTTGTGAACTTCTCATTCTGCTGCTGCCATTAATAATGTCTGTACTACTTGGTAAATTACATTCCTGGGCAGAAAATTCTGCCATATGGTGTATTTTCCAAGAATATATCTTGACTTTTGGGAGCTCTTTGAGGCAAAGGTTCTGGACATCTGCCATGGGAAAAGGTTATATAGTAGTAAGCTTATTGGGAGGTACATTTTTATTTTTATCAAAACCTACATGCCTCTGATTGGGCTTGCCAAAGTGTCTAGTATGTATCTCGCACAGCTTCCATCATTATGGAGCATTAGTGCAATGGGGAAACTAATCCAAAGAAAGGGCTCATTATGCTAGAAGAATGCCATGAAGTGACAGACATATGAAGAACCCTATTGCTAATTTTGATATATTTGATAAGATTTATTTGGTTAAAATTTTTCTTTCTACAAACGAAAAAGAGTATCTATTTGTAATAGACTGAAATTATCACAGATAAGATTAATATTGAACTATTGTAATTTAAAGGCAAGAGCTTGATATTTGATTGAAGGATAAAGAAGGATCCAAAAGTAATAACTTGAGGCTATCAGTCTCACTAGCAGCTTTAGGCTACAATTCTCTCACAATACATCAATCAAAGTTCACATAACATCCTACTGCTCCATTGCTAAGTTTATATACCAAGCCCTCTTCCCATACAAAGCTACCCTAATCGTAATTGGATTTGTCCTGTTCTGCTACTGCAACAATCAGTCCCGAGTTCCCCTCCTCTTAGTGCTCTATTGATTAGCTTTGTCTTCTGCTGAAATATTCTGCTCTCCTATTGGCTGTTGCTGACTGTCATGTTGTTCCCTCACCTCAATTGGCTGCTTCCTCCTTATAGCATAGACCCAGATAGTTGGCTGTGGTGTTGGGCTAACCCAGTTCATTACACTTGGTATTATTTCCGTCTTAGAACTACAATGGACTAAATTCATTTTCTAATCATATGAAAAATTTGAAGTGGAATTCTAGCTTTTTAAGAGTTCACAGGAACCAACTTTTTTTAGACTTACTATTTACTAGGACAAAGCTGTAATTTGGTATTATTTTTATTTTTTATTCTGTAGGCAAGAGCTTTGTGAGAGCCATTCTGCAGCTTATTATGTGATGGCTTACTAGTTAATACTAGGATTTATCAATTTTCTTCCAATGCTGAGATGAGGGCATGACTTCTGACATTCCCTTTACTTATCTTAAGAATGCCTTACGCATAAAATGAATATGTTGGTAAAATTGCAAGGAATTTTATTTGTTAAGGCACTTTTCATTCTATCCATTAAGTTGATTAGTACTTGGGTGATAATCTGGCCTCAATTTAAATGCAGATGATGAAAATTTTTATTTAATGTTTTGGTTTTGGTGTAGGTTCTTGCTCTTAAGCATCATACTTCAAAACTGGCTGATTTTCCTGACCTTCAGTCTCTTACAACATTTGGCTTCAGAGGTGAGGCATTGAGTTCCCTTTGTGCGCTGGGGAGTTTGACAGTGGAAACTAGAACAAAAAATGAGTCTGTTGCTACACACTTGACGTTTGACAACACTGGCCAATTAGTAGCTGAACATAAGACAGCACGGAACGTTGGTACTTCAGTAACTGTAAAGAAGCTGTTTTCTAATTTGCCTGTGCGTAGCAAGGAATTCAGTCGTAATATCCGTAAGGAATATGGAAAACTTGTATCTTTATTGAATGTGAGTAAAAGATGTTCATATTGCTTTTAATTGTTGTTAAAATGGATAATAAATGACAATTTAAAGCTGTCATGCAATTTGAAGTATGAAGATTCACCTCCTTCCCCCATCATTTGCTTGGGAAATTTATTAATAGCTTCTGTCTTTTATTTGGTCTTTTGTAGTATGATCTTGGAGTCTCTAGAAATTGAAACTATATTTAATATAATTCAACTGCACGTATACAACATGAAAATCCTGAATGGTCTGACTGATTTTGACTTAATGTTTCTTAACCTTGTTTCTTCAGGCCTATGCTATTATTGCAAAAGGAGTTCGATTTGTCTGCACCAATATGTCTGGGAAAAGTGCAAGATCCGTGGTCCTGAAAACTCAAGGAAGTGGATCGCTCAAAGATAACATCATAACACTGTTTGGCATGAGCACATTTACATGTTTAGAGCCACTGAGTATCTCTTTGCCAGGTAACTGCACAGTTGAGGGCTTTGTCTCTAAATCAGGTTATGGCAGCGGACGAAATATGGGTGACAGGCAATTCTTATATGTTAATGGTCGGCCTGTTGATATGCCAAAAGTAGGTAAACTTGTGAATGAGTTATATAGAGGTGCTAACTCACGACAATATCCCATTGTGATTCTGAACTTCATTGTTCCAATTATGGCATATGATGTAAATGTGACACCAGATAAGAGGAAGATTTTTTTCTCTGATGAAGGCTCTATTCTACAATTTCTGAGAGAAGCTCTGGGGATGATCTATTCAGCCAGTTCTGTCACTTACAATGTTAGGAATATAGATGCACCTGATGAAAAAGATGATCACTTATCGCCGCGCCCTGTGGGATTGCAGCTGCCCTCTGAGCAGTGCAAGTCATCTCCAAAAAGAGCTCAAGCTGAAGAAGTATGTGAGGAGAAGCAAGCTAATAAAGATAACATGATATCAGGTTCTATTGGGAAGGGCAACAATCTTTCATCTTTTGGTCTTCGCAGTGATGCTCAAAAGTCACAGGACAGGGATTTTGGTCTCAGGGTCCACAGAATTAAAAAGACTTATAGCTATTCACCAAGCCATGAAAATGATAATACAAGTATTAATATTGATCAAGAATGCCTTAAAGAGGCTGAAAGGGATGTTGCAATCAACAATAATTTGACAAATAGGCCATCCTCGATTCAATCCTCACTTACCAAGTTTGTTACTCTGCAAAAGCGGAAGTATGAAAACTTATCTACACCCTTATCTGAAGCCCCTATCTTAAGAAATGAACCACTTCAACGTAAGTCAGAAAGCAATGATTTGTTGCATCTTGCTGCTGTAAGCTCAGCCACAAAGGTTCACGACTCTGCTGGGCTTTATGAGAATCAAACATCCAAGCATTCTAAAACAGCAACAGATTTGTGTCAAACAAGCAGTCCTCTTCTGAATGATGGTGATGCTTGCATGGAAGGGCTAATAGAGGTATGCTATATACTCTTGATGAACCTTTTTGTGAACAATTCAAAATCTACACACACAAAAAGAAAAATACTCCTATTTGTAATGACACCTTTTGTTCTTGATGCTAATCAGATTGCTCCTCGGTTGATAGTTTGAATCATAAGTTTGGAAGACCAGCCATGTACTATTTAAAAGCTTTAGTTGCACCCAGAGAAAACGTAGCTGCATAGAAAGTAGGATTATTTAAACATGAGATTGGAGGCTTTGGAGTTATTGGTGCACTCCATATTGGCTTCGATGGTAGGGTTGTCGGTGAGATGGTGGTGATCTTGGGTGCAGTGGTGGGATTTTTGGTGGAAAGGACGGGAGGGTTATTTCGCTTTGGTGGTGGTGCTGTGTTATAAGATTTGATTATTGTGGTGGTCAAGGGTCAAAAGGTAATTGGTTGTTGAGGAGTTTGGGGCTTAGGATGATTCGCTTGGGAGGGGGAGGGGGGGGGGGATGTAGAGAGTAGAAGAAGGTTGGGTAATCACAAGGGTAAAGGAAATCAAGGAAGTTGTTTACCTTTCCCTTTCTTAGAATTCCCGAACCAAACACACCTTTATTCTTTTGACTATGTCTTAATAAATATAGCACCAGTAATCTAATCACTTGTTGACCATGACCTAAGTGGCACTCTAATAAAATTGGGTGCAAGTCTCACCAACTGTGTGTGTCCTTTACTTCATGATGAACTAAGTTCCCTTTTTATTGTTGTCATTAATAATTTGCGAACACGTCTTTGTGGAGTGGGTTGCAATGTTTGCTTCACTAAAATCTGAAGAAATATGAATTTTACAATGAGTACTAGTGAACTTAATTACTCCTATAACCATGCTCTTTAGCTCACTAAACTGTAAGAGAAAGCTCTTTGGTTTGTAATTGTGGTACTCATGCTACATGTTTGAGAATTTTAGTTTGGAAGATTATCAAGCCTAACCTAAATTTTTGTAAAAAATGTTTAGATGTTTGGTAAAGTGGCAGATAGCCACTAACGACATGTGCAATGACATTATTATGACTATATCTTTATCGTCTATATCTTGCGTATAAGCTGTGAAGTAAGTGAAGTTGTCATTTAAGGTGGCTCGGGAAGGAGAAAGGAACTTGCAGTAGGTGATGAAGCTAATAAGGTAAGGGGGATTGGTGGAGTTGTACACTATAATATTTGATAGGCATATGCTCAATTTTTTTTTTCTTTTTTTTTTTTTAGAACCAAAAGTTGCTCCTTTTCTGTTTACCAAATGTCTATATGTCACATGGTTGAAAGGTCCAAAGATGCTACATACTATCGAAATTGAAGTATTTATCATTTGGCAGCTACCTTGGACCTATTGTCCAATATTATTCCTTAACCTGATTAATTTAAAATTGATTTATTGCCTTCAAAGGATTTAGGTTCCCCTTTATACTGTAGCAGAGGAGATGCTCAGGTAGAACGATTATATCTCTGCATAATGAACTTAGGCAATTATATTTCACTAGATATTCTTAGGAGTTCATTGCCTAGATAAATCATGGTATCACTGAGTCAAATTGCTCTGCCTAAATATAGTGTTCTGAATGCAATATGGTATCAGATCAGTGTTATGGCATTAGAGGATGTACCAAGAGTTTCCCTGTCTCAATGACTGCGCAAGTCTTGTAGATGTTTCTTGTACTGAGGCTTGGTTTGTTACTGAGATTTAATGAAGATCTTGCTAACTTGTTTAGTTGATCTTTTGGATTGCTAACTTGTTTATTTATTTGGTCATTTGGACCTTAATACCTCACTTAAATTTCAGGACAATCAGCTTCAAAAAAAAAGAGTGCCTGCTGCAGATGTGATCATACCAAGTGAATCAAGGAGTGGAATCTCAGAAATTGAACTAGAAGAGGCACCACTTGGATCCCAGTCGTTACAAGGTACCCCTCCTCCTTCATCTGCTCCAAAGGCCTCTTCTACTTTGCAATTCAATATGAAGGATCTCATGAAAAGGAGGAAGCAGAAATTATCAATATCTCATACGAGCTTTGATGCTTTTTCTAGGACAACCACCAAAAGGTTTGTGAAGTATCAAATTTGGGAAATAAGTTTTCTTCCTTATTTTGTCTTTTATAAAGTAATCTATAAGTCTATAACTATAACTAAAATAAAAACCGCAGACATCACTTTCTTGTAAAATTGTACATGTGTAGCTCTAGTATGTAAAATTTTCCCGCCTAAATGCACTAATGATGTCAGCTTTATTTATTTTTTTTCTTTTTCCCTCATAAGTGACGAGGTTCTAATTTTTGGAAAAGAAAAATTACAGAGCATTAATTATGATGATCTCTTCACAATTTTGTAAACACACATTCAAACTACACATAATTATTTAGTTAAAAGTTTAATTTGTTCATGTTTTTTAATCTTATAGCCTTAGATCAAATTGCCACTTGCTCATATATTTTAATCTTATAGATGTGTTTTTATAGCTTACCTTACTACCGAGTCTTAAAAAAAATTCAAATTAATTTTGTAAACCGTGCATCGCACGAGACTAATCTAGTTGATGATATATAGGTGCTATGCTGCTGCGACGCTAGAGCTTTCTCAAGCAGATAATGAAGAGTGGAAAGCTAGGGCTCTTGCTGCTGCAACCACTGAACTGGAAAGGCTTTTCAGGAAAAGAGACTTCGGCAGGATGAAGGTAAAGAAATTGATAGCCTTGTCAGTAGAGTTAAAAGTGTCAGCCTTCAAAGTTTGCTAACAACCTGCCTATGTGTTTGATGGGATATAGGAGCAACTGCTTTTTATTCTTGTCCATTGTTAGCATGAAATCCTGTCGGTGAGCATGTGAGTTTGAAGTCATGTTTGGCTTGGTTTCAAGAGAAAAGTGAGCCTATACTCTACTCTATGTTACTTATGTTATGTGACCTGACTAACATGCCTAAGCTAACCTGGAGGCTTTGGGGTTTGATGCAAAATTTGAATTTAAAACCCAATTATCTGAATCCTATAAATGAGGAATCCTGTGGGTTAGGGTTACAAACGGGTTAATCTGAAGGACTCAAAACCAAATTTTAATAATATTATTTTGCTGGCTTAGTGGCTTATCAATACAATAATTACAGCAGTGATTGTTTAAAATGACTAAAACTCTCCCCATTGCGTACCCAGTTCAATTTCTTCCCTTTGTATTGTTTTATTTGATGCCAATACAACTGTCATATTTATTAGAGAAATAGTATTGACCTGCCTTGAAACTGATATTAAAAATAAAAAATAAAAAAAAACGTAGGTGGTATTGAGCCTCTTGATTGACCCAAACTCTAAGTTCATGTATTTCTAAACACAGCTTAAACTACTGATATGCCAACTCTGACATGAAATGGAGAGTACGATGGCCTTCTCTGGTGTTGCAACCTTTAATCTGCCTCATCCCCTTAGCTTACCCGTTGTTGTCTTTCTATGTGAAAGCTATGCCATTGACTTTGTTTCAACTAATGTAGAACTGCTTGCTTGAACAAGGCTATGCTATGTTACGTCTTACCTCTGCTTTACAGTACTCCAAACTCCAATTGGTATTTCTAATACTGTAGCAGGCTGGAACTCTCACTAGCTTTTTTTTTCCCTAAAAGTATCGGGTGTGATGCATATTGCAGGCAGCTCATTGCATTTTGTTTAATCATGGTTGATTTTCAATTTTCACGGTATCATATAACCCCTTTAGATTCAATTTTAGGTAGTTGGACAATTCAATTTGGGATTTATTATCGGGAAGCTAGATGAAGACTTGTTTATTGTGGATCAGGTAATTTTGGCCAGTGGACTTTATATCTCTTTTCTTCTACTCTGTCATTAGAATAACCACAGACCCAAAGTTGTTTGTTATTTCAATCTGTATTATTACTTCTAATTTGCTGCAAGATAAGATATATAGATTGTTTCTTCTTGTTTTAACATGCTACTGGATTAATGATATATACATTCAATCACCAGCATGCAGCTGATGAGAAGTACAATTTTGAGCGCCTCTCAGAATCAACAGTCATGAACCAGCAGCCTTTACTCCGGTAATCTTTTCTTCCTTTTGTAATGGTCCTTGGATAGTGAGACTGATAAATTGGGGTATCTTGAGAATAATTCCCATGTTTTACGTGCATTTGTTTAAAATTAGCCGCTATGCTTTTTGAATTGTGAAAGCTTTTTCAGAAGCAAGCATCAAGCTTTTACCAACTGTATCTTGTTTCAAGAGTTTCAGTATCCTTTTCTCTTTATTATTTCTTTTCTCCCATTTTATCTAAGTCAAAGACTCTGCTCTATTTACTTAGTAGAGTAGTTCTTGAACCTCCTGCCTGCAGTCACAGTCCATTGCAACAGCAGTATAATATCAAATCCTTGATGGGCTGCAAAGGACACTAATTATTTCCTCCTGATAACTAGTTTGCACCCCTTTACTGACTCCAGCAGCCAATAAAGTGCATATTTCTCACTAATACTTTGTGGTATATCAACAGAAGACGTAGATAGTTTCACTATTTGAGCAGTGTGTGACATACCCTTAGAAAGTCAAAATATCTCACTTGCAGAAGCCTTTGAAGTTTGAACTCTATCCTTTAAAGCAGGCTCCATGAAACCTCTTCCCACCTTTTATTCCTATTGTTATTTTTCTCATCTTGGACATGTTCTTTTACCTTTCTCTTCTTTCCTTTTTGTGCTTGTTGGCATTTCAGGTGATAATTGTGCATATGCAGATGTATATGATTGAAGCTTAAATGATATTTTATTGCCCGGCTATACTTGTGTTTCCTTAAAATTTCAATGTACATATGAAAGGCCTATATTAAGCTATTTCTTGTATTATCTCTTTGTACATGCAGGCCAGTCAGGTTGGAATTGTCCCCAGAAGAGGAAATAGTTACCTCAATGCATATGGACATAGTTAGGTAACCTAGATATCTATACCTTGCCTCTGCATCCTCATCTCACTGGCTGTATGTTTTTTTTGTACATTCCATTTAATCTACCCATGCAAATAAAGTGCCATGTATATTTTTTCAACTCAATTTTAATATATCACCAATTCCTTGCAAATCAATAATAGGCACTAGGCAGTCAACCCTCTTCTTGCTTAAGGGTTGATCCATATCCTTCTTGGCTATGATGTATACTATTTTAGGGGCTTTCTAAGTATTTTATGGGAGTTGTTGGGGGGTGGGAATGGTTGAGTTGGTAAATGTAATCTTTGGCTAAGATGCGTCCAACCCAATCTGGAATTTTGGATAGATGTTTGCCCATTATAGACTTAATGGTCCAACCCAAACTGTGCAATGGTGCAATGAACACTATTTTAGGGATTTCCCTTAGTATTTTATCATCTTTGTGATGAATTGTAATCTGACTATTGACCACAAACTATCCTTATGCCCCTATTAAACTCAGAGTTAATGGAGTTGGACCTTCTGGCTTTTAAATCTACACTAGCTCTTAGAAAAGGAGTGTAAAATTAACAAGACCTATGATCATGCTGATATGACAATAATATCATCAGTTTAAGAAAACTACTTGGCAACACTCTTTTGTCTCAGTTGATCAGTTAGCTAGAGCATAGAATATCACTAATGCATTGAACTTTTACTCACTTTGGAAGGATTTTGATATATTCCATGGAAAGAAACTGGAGATGTGGGGCTCATTACACTGATGTGTAGGAAATTGGTGAGTAGTGGGCCATTAAACTTGCTGCTCTTAAAGTTTAGGCTGGTGAAAGTGAGAGTGTGAGACCTAAGAAAAATTTATGTTAAGGCATGGGATAATCGATAGTTTCATCGGAGACATAACTCTGTGTTCAGGGAAGCAATTTATGCTTAAATAATTGGTCTCTAAAAATTCTATATATAGGGTTAGACATTAAGGATTAAACAAGCCAGGCAATCTGGCATAGTTGCATTTGTATGTAACTATTGAGTGCACTTATTTTTATTATCTTCTTTATGTACCTTAGAAATTGGGATTACTATCCAATGTCTATTCATCTTGCTGTCTTTTTACAGTTTTGAGGTTTGTTTGTATGCTTAGGACCTTACTTTATGTGTTTCTTTAGCAGGACATGTTTGTCGCTTTATCTCACGTTTTAATCATGATGACTGTAGGAAAAATGGTTTTATCTTGGAAGAGGATCTAGATTCATCCCCAGGCAACCGCTTTAAATTAAAGTCTGTGCCCTTCAGTAAAAATATAACATTTGGAGTTGAAGGTAATGTATTCGTACTTTCCGAGATGCAATAACCTTTTTTTTTTCTATTATGATTGGAGAAGTGTCTTCTAACCTGTCATTCACCTTTCAATTTGCTTACTTTTAATGTTGAAGCTAGATTTGTCAATTTGAGTGTTTGGGTCGAGTTAGCTGTTCAGGCAATTTGAGTTAATTGCATTACTATTCGGGTCAGGTTACATCAGGTTTGGGTCGAGTTAAAAATAGATCGGGTTGAGGTTGTATTTAGGTCAGGTTGAATTAAGGTCGTGTTAGTAACTGGTCGAGTTGATTTCGGGTTTCAACGGTTCAGAATGGGTTTGGGTCAATCTCGGGTTCAGCTCGAATTCAGTTCAGGTCAATAATTGACGGGTTATATTCGGGTTAGGTCATCTCAGGTCGGGTCATGTTCGGGTTTGGGTCACGAATCCTAAGGTTAACTCGGGTCTCGGGTTGGTTTCATGTCGGGTCATATCGGGTTTAGGTCAGCAATTTCTTGAGTGCAAACACATCAGGTCATGATCGGGTTCGGGTAAAATTTTCGGGTCTGGTTAGCTTTTGACAGCATTATACCGTATAATGCTTTCCTCTATAACAACAACAAAGCTAGTCCTAAAATAATTTACGTTGGGCTAACATGAATTGTCATTAGGATTCGTCCGTGAAAAGTTAAAGAAACTAAACAAAGAAAAGTGAGAAAGTTCTTATTCTGCAAATTATTCTGACTTTGACCAGACCTAATTTACTGATTTAAGTCAGGGAATTATTAGATTATTGTTAGTGTTAATTATTTAATGGCTAAGTCATGTCTTTAAAGGATGTAGATCTTGGTACTTATTATTTCATTTGATACGCTCTTCTTTGAGCAGGCTTCTGCAACTTTAATCATTTGCGAGAGTTTGCATCCAAGATTTATTGGTTCAAGTGCTCTTAATATATCATACAAATTATAAATTGTATTAAGAATCATAGATACTTATTAGAGTTACTGCTTAGACTATTATATTTACCGTGGTATTTGACTAGATTTGACTCATTGGTAGATCAAATCAATACTAGTCACTCAGAGAAACACAATCACACAACGATGATATAGAACTGAGAAGCTCAAGACTATTATAAGCTGAATTATAGTCCATATTTTTAGATAAAGACCTCCAACTTTTCTGCTCGGATTCCCAAAAAGAGCTCAATGAATGATCAAGCTCTTACCCTCCTGAACAGCTTTAGTACCCCTTTCATCTCTGAATCATGCCACATGAAGTTGTTGATTCTGTGAAATTTCTGGTCTTTTGCAATTACATCAGTAAATCAAGTTCAGCAAATGTAAACTGATCGTAGTTTGTAATGTCTCTCTTTTCAATTAGTAGCATTTGTAGGATAAATTGTCACATCCATTGTTCTGCCACCTTTTCAGAAGAAATCTGATCATCAGTACATGAGTACATCACTCTCTAGTCTCTAACCACCCATAAGTCTTTTCTGATTAGGATTATCTATTGCATTATCAACATTGTCGTTCAACTACCTGAACTCTTCCATTGAACCTCCAAATACTCTTGCAATACTTGGTTATATGCTGTTTTCATGCTAAGTAGTCATCTTATCTCCTGTACCCACCTTTGCCGCTGCTGAACATGGTCTTTAGCTATTAAAATCATCAATGGCAGTCTGTGTTGGTTCAGTATCCTCTTCATATGCTACTTGTCTCAGTACAACTTGAGTTAATTTCTTTCTATCGAATGCAAACAGAACATAGCTTTGTGAGAATAGCATATCTAGGCCAAGAGCAGCCTGTTTTCTTGCTTTAAGTCTACAAGAAACCTGTATTTGTAACGTACTTCTTTGGCCACCAGATAACCGTGCATATTCTTTCAATTCTTGTGCCCCCCCCCCCCCCCCCCCCCGTGGGTCTCAATAAGTGTGAAGTTTTATGTTAAGAAAAAGCTGATATGTGTTTATCTATCTAGATGATGAGAACATCATCTTAAAGCCAACAACTAAAATCCTACAAGGCTTGCACCCTAAGAAAAAAATCTCCATTAATCATACCTCATGAATGTTTAAACTGATGAGTAGACACAGCATCATATTGCTTGGTGCTTGAATTTCTTTTATGTTTCTGGAAAGTTCAAAATCTTTTTTCCAAGTTTTTAGTAAAGTTTTGAATGTCATGTCAATTAAGCTTTTATCTGATCCATTGGATATAATAAGTGCTATTCTTGTTGCCATGTTCTGTATAACCAGTCATGGCAGACAGAAAATGTTGTCCTCTGCTAGCTGTATTATAACCAAAGAGTACTCTTAGTTTTCAAGCAATATTTTCTGGGTTTAAAAAAACGTCAATTGCTAATGAATGCCTTCAGATATTGGGAGAATGAATGGATGATTTCTTATCACTCTAGAATAATGCTTGACATGTGTATATCTCTGTTTCTATGTTTCTTTTGATGCAGCTTTTGTCGCTATGGATGTTCATAATGTGCTTTTTTTATTCTAGTACAGATGTAAAAGAGCTCATATCTACTCTTTCGGATGGTCATGGAGAATGCTCAATTATGAGTACTTATAAGATGGATACTTCTGACTCAATTTGCCCCTCGAGAGTACGTGCAATGCTAGCATCACGTGCCTGCAGGTCATCAATTATGATTGGTGATGCACTTGGAAGGAATGAAATGCAAAAGGTAATGTCTGCCATCTTCTGAGAGTGAATTCTCTTTGATGTTTGTTTCTTTAATATTTCTTTGCTGGGACTTAACACTTAACACGAGTATTACCTTAAACTTATAATATTTGAGACGGATGATGACCCTGCCAAACTGCGGTCTGGGTAGCTGCAATTTTGTAGGAAGCGGAAACAAATTTCTGTAATTTCGTAGGTAGTGGAAGCAATTTTGTAGCTGCAATTTTGTAGGAAGTGGAGATCTCTGAAGATGGTAAGCGAGTTTACACTAGAGGAGGGTAGATTACTTTATAATAGGAGAATTGTGGTTCCTAGGAATTTCAAGCAGAAAATACAAAGGTTGCTCAAAGCAGGCCGACTAAAAGGCAAGAGAAAATCTCGTTTAGTGCGGGTTCCCTGGACGAAATTCTTCCCGTGGGAAGGCCCCTTTACTTTTTAATAAACTCTCTTAATAACAAGGGGAAGATGCCTTTACATTTTAATGGACTCTTAAACAAGGGCATGCCCCCACTCAGGGGTTCCTGAAGCAAGCACTTTACATACTTTATGAAAGTCTTAGACACATCAACTGGTGGAGGTTGTGGCCATGGTCTCTGTTGAAGGCCCTATATTTTATGTATCTTATATAAGGATTTCTAAATTCTTGCTATACTTATTTAATGGGCTGCTCCATATAGAGGGCGAGGAGCTTGCAATGTACTACATAGGAAGAGGCTTAACCAGAGGCAAAGAAAGAGTTCCTTTTATTCAGTGGCAAGCCATTCTATCCTAAATGCTTCTTTTCCTCTTTGCCATCACCTGTATATTACTCTATGAATACCAGTATAATGCAACCTGCCTATAAGTGGACACAAGGGGACTTAAACCTGTCTTTGTTTGACTGCGAATTGGTTCTGGGTAGGAATCTGCAAGGCATGCCAACAGCAGAAGACCTCATCTAAAAGCCTTGTCGGACTCTTCCTCTTCATCTGGCAATTATGGGATGATCAATTATAGCAAGAAAGACAGCCATTTTCGTGGTCATAGATATAATGTCGAAATATGCCCATTATATTTTAACTCACACATCCCATTTCCATGAGAGATAGTCTTACTGCGTGGGTTCCCAGAATCTGTTTATTTGTATAGAGACCGAATATTCAAGAGATTATACTGGAAAGAAAATTTTTTCAAACCGCAACAATTATCACTAAAGCAAAGCCCAGCCCTTTTGGTGCTCCCCCCATCCCTCCCTCTTAAGGTTGAGATTGGGTGTGATTTTTTCTTTCTCTTGCATTGGCATAACTGAATGAAGCTAAATTCTCTTTTAAAATGCTGAATTTATCCCTTCCCTGCTGCAGCATAGTTAGTTTGTATGATATTAGCTTTAGTATTTCTTGTTATATGTTTCATTGTGTGATTCTCATGTACAATAACAGATCCTTGAACACTTGGCTGAACTGAAGTCTCCATGGAACTGCCCACATGGAAGACCGACCATGCGCCATTTAGTCAACTTGGCTGTAATTTACGAGAGAGAAAATCCGGAAATTACTAGTTTGTGATGGACATTGGTGGTATTGATCTCTCCTGTCTCAACCAATGTGATGCAATTTTGTCAGTTGCCGTGTACAGTTTTGTAAAGATGACGTTCTTGGATCCGCATGCATGGATAATTTGATCAATATTTCTTAAGAAAATGTCAGGCATTTATAATGTGTTGAATATTTGATAACCCTGCTTTTTATACCATTGAGGCATCAAATTTGCCCAAACTCATGTCTAACGTTGGTGAAAAAATGAAGCAAGTAATTGGTCAAGGTTATGAGGATCAAGAACTTACATCCCTAAGGAAGTAGACCAGGAAGGCAGCATTGTATATGGGGTTAATCAACTGGAGCATATAGTTGCAGTTTTTTCATTATTCTTCCGGTATTCAGAACAGCAGGAATCACTTTACAAACAATAGTGATGGAAAGCTGTGGAAAAACTATTGGGTTATATACGTAGCAGGAGCCAGTTTTTTGATGAATGTATCTGAATCCTCGCGGGCTAGCACAATACGTAGCAATGTGGACAAGCGATTCCGATAAAAGTCATACAAGATTGGATTGACTACTGTGTAAATTGACTTTTAGTTGTAAATTCCATTAACCAGTGACTGTATATATATTACTCTGTAATTAAAGTTTTAGTTGTTCCCTCTTTGACTTTTTGCACTATCTACATGCCTTATTACCTTTGACCAATTTATATGTACTTTGTATAACATTGTTAAAACTGGATGGACACTAAATAAAGTCCCTAAACTTTTAACAAACTTACATTTATGTTGGGAGCGGATTCTAGCAACCTACAAATTAGGAAAAGATCAATCAAAGGATCAATTATAGAATACAATATTTGATTTTACTTGTACATAACAAGGAAAATATGCATGGTCAAAGATATCAATAAAGTCATAGCTCATCAATCAAAGGATTTGATTGATCCAATCAAGAAGACAACTATCAATTAAAGATCTTATGAAACCAATCAAGACTATAGAATCAATCAAGTAAAGCTAAATTAGGAAACGAATCACTTGATTGACGAAATATTATTCGCATAGTGGTCCCAACTGAGTATAGATAGTCCGAACTTAATTGCACCTTTCTGAGTAAGTCGACCGCCTTTCTACGCTTTTCCGAGAAAGGCAGCTTCCCTTCAAAGCTCGGACCATTTGATGACGCGTAATGAAGGCTTGGGCAACAAGCACAATTAAGTCCCATGATTGAAGGAGCGAATCAAGGAAAACAATAAAGATTCTTCAATAATTACCTTCGTTAGATTTTACAAATCATTATAAATAGGATGTTCTTTGTATTATGTCGTCCTTACTCAGAATTATTTCGTCCTTACTCAGAAATGCCGCTTTTACTTTGATCTTTGTTCTTCAATTTAGAATTATTATTATAGTTTTATTATTTTATTGCTCTTAACTCATTCATTTGGAGATTGTGTTTATTTTCTTTTGGTAGATTTGATTACTAAAACCCCTTAAAACCTTTAACAAATTCCTAAAAACACCTTTCTAAGATTTATCCAAAACAATATAAGGCTATAAACTTTTTTCCCCCTCTTTTTTAATTGTCAATGCATTAGAAAAGTAAAATCTGGCCAATAAAAGGGCTTAGTTGCACGGTTCGACGAAGAACTGAAGAAGTTCCGTCGAAAGACTTGATTTGATATTTTAGTAGTAATGATTTCTACTAGTCGGGCTCACGGAGTCTGATTACTTAATAAAATATATTTTTGAAAATGGAAAAGGCCAACGAATCCAAGTTACAACTATGTCGTGGGCAATAGTCTTTTTAAGCCATCTGAGTTCATTTAGAATTCATTTAGGGCCTGAAAACAACGTTTAAACATTTTCCGAATCTTATTTTTGCTTAATTTTCGTATTAGGGCTTTGTTTAGACTATTTAAATTTTATAGCCGTCTTTTAGAAATCAGTTTTGACATTAAACGTTTTGTTTGTATTAGGAATTGCGCTTGTTTTTCCTCCATTAATTCTGGCTGCGTCAATTTGCCACCACTTTTGAAACTAAAGGAGGTTTGTTGTTACATTGTCTAGTTAGGGGTCTGTTTTATGCTTTACTCTAGTTATCACACTCAATTTTCTACCTTTCTCTCTTTTCAATTCCCATAGTATCCGAAAATATTTATACTACCTCTGTTTTTAGTTATTTGCAACAAGTGTACTTTTCACGCATGCCAAGGCAAAAGTTTTAGTAGTTGTTTAGTAGTGGATAAATGGGTAGTGGGGCATGTGATTAGGGTAAAGTGGATGATTAATTAATTCATCCCACAAACCACCCACCAGGCCACTACACCGCCCACACCACCACCCACCAGGCCACTAGATCGCCCACACCACCACCACCAGATCGTCCCATCCAGCCACCCATGCACCCCCGGTGCACCAGGCCGCCCGGCGCCCACCAAACCGAGCCTTAGCCACAGACCCACCACACCACCACCAAGATCCCGACATCCGCCCCACCTCGTAAACCACCGAGAAACCACCCATAACCAAATAAACCCTTCCAAAAAACCTCACCCACCATCTCAAAATACCCACCTTACCCTCCCCAAATAGTCGTACCCACCCCAAAAACCACCACCTCCAACCGGAAAAATCTAACACCATGAATCGCGCCCCTAAAAAAACCAACCCAAAGATACAAACGAAAAACCATTACCTTCTCTATCATCAATTAAAGCTTTATTTGGTCAAATTTAACCATTAAAATTCTAGATCTAGAATTTTCATGGTTAAATTTGACCATAAAACCTTCAAATTTGAGCTTTAGTGACAAGACTGAAACAAAAGGAGAAGGAAGAGAGAGAAAGCAGAGACGGCGACAAGCATGACAGCGACGACGACTTTCGGCGAAGGTGGTGGTTGAATTTGAGGGGAGATGAACAAAGAGAGGGGGAATTTATGGGTAGATGGAGATAGAGTGGAGATCGGTATGGTGGTAGTAGTGGTGGTGGTGGTGGACTGGTGGTGGTGTTTGCCATTGAAGGTGATGGTTGAAGAAGATGGTTGAAGGAGATGGTGAGAAATAAGTGAGAATGAAAATACAGGGGTTGATTGGGGTTGGAAGGATGAATCTGATTAATCATAGTTAGATAGTAGGTTAGTACATAATCAAATTTTTATAATGGTAATATGGTAATTTTACCATTATAAAACTTACTACAAAAGGAAATAAAATTGTTTGTTGCAAATAATACGAAACACCCAATTTTAGTAATTGTTGCAAATAACTACAAACGGAGGTAGTATATATATATATATATATATATATATATATATATATATATATATATATATATATATATAGAGAGAGAGAGAGAGAGAGAGAGAGAGAGAGAGAGAGAGAGAGAGAGAGAGAGAGAGAGAGAGAGAGAGAGAGAGAGAGAGAGAGAGAGAGAGAGATAGAGGGTTATTTATCAATTAAGATGTCATTACTTCGACTAATTCTTTATACAAACTAAAAAGATCATAATTATTAGCAAATATACGAGATCACAAACGTAGATTGCTCGCGTCTAAAACAAAAAAGACGTTATAAAGCTTTTTGTAAAGATCCCAATACCGGCTGTTATGAGTCTTATTCCTTATAGTCACAAATATGAAGCAAGCTTCAGGCACAGAGAGATAATAAACAGTGTGAGATTGATCAAAGTTAGAGCTAGTTAATAGGTATGTCATTGTGGAGAAAAATTAGATAGGGAGTGTATCATAATATTGACTTTGACTCAAGATAATAAAAAGGAAAGGAAGTAAGGGAAATGTTTTTAAAGTGAACTTGCCCACTAATTTCAGTGCTACTGCCTCTATTCTCTCTTCTCGCGAAACTACCACCATCCATCCACAGCCCACCGTTGCAGTCCCAGCAACTACCTAAACAACCCAACCACCATCATAATCTCAACGGCCCACATTTACCAATGAACACTCTAATACGAACCCAAAGCACATTTGAGAAATTATGTATTATTTCAATTAATCAATTGTTTTCATACAATAACATAATGTTGAAATTATGAACTAATAGACAGGATTAAAAACTAATATAATCTTAAGCTAGCAAGGGATTAAGATTTTAAAAAAATGTCATGACCTTCACAAAAATGCTAAGAATACTGAGTTTATGATATTGTAGATCATACAAATGATAAGCTAATGCTTTAAAATCTATAATGAATGAATTGAGATAAATTAATTGCAAATGCTCTAAACTAGAATATAATTATACTTGAGTAACGATTATGGCTTAACTACACAATCTAATGTGTAAAGCTTTCTTGACACCTTTATTGTTTTCCAAAATCAATGAAATGGCGGTATACAATGTTCTCTTAAGACTGCATAAACATGAGACTCGTGTCACTTTTTAATGGAAATTGTCCATATTAGATCTGCATCAGAACGAACTGATACTATATCTCCAGTCACTATGTTTGATGTACTTAACAAGCCGCCAAACATCATCTCCGTGTCATCTGAAATAATCATAGGAAATTTATGTTAAACGTAAAACAAACACACCACCTAAAGAGGATACATACTACTTGTCAACAAAAATAAATAAAGAAGAAGAAGAAGAAGAAGAAGAAGAAGAAGAAGAAGAAGAAGTCAAATAAGAGCTAATAAGGTTATAAAGTTCTAATACGGGCTAATAAATTCAATCCGCAACTAAAGTAAGTTTAGACATAGCAAAAAAATTCATACAAGTTCGAATTAGGTCTAATAGTTCATAATCTTCATATATTAGATATATTCGAGCAAATCTAAGAGTTATCAAATTGGGAGGGCATAAAGGCCATACAAAACTAAGGGAACAAATGAATGTAGCAAATTGATTGACATGCTATTAAGTTTGAGGGTCTTGATTGGGCTAATATCAATTGAGTTATTTGTACACCTAATACGAATAACATTTCTGCTATTTGCAAAGTTCATGGATTTTCTCTTCAATAATGTACGTCCTAATATACTTCATATCTCATATAAGGGTGCAAACAGGAACAAATGCAAGAGAAGAGGAAAGAAAAGGGAACTGAATGAGAAGATATTGACCAACCAGTTAATATTAATTCAGCAAAAATTAATTAAAACAATAACAGAGAAACCTAAACGCCAAAATGAACTATGCAAATAGCACACAAACATCTACTTACTGAGGTTCCATTTTAAGCCAGAGGTTGTGGTATGAAAAGCAGGCACTCCAATTGGTAATAATCCACAATGCGGCCCAACAACAGAAGGCTGAATATGGATCTCATGATGATGAGTTTTAGGGAGAAGTTGGATCAAGCAGTCATCTGAAAGAAGGATTATTCTCAAGTTAGAGAATCGATAAAGAACATTAATGTTCCCAGCTTCATGATCAAAGCGTCCACCAAGTGCTCCGGTTACAAGAATGCATAGCTGCAAGGTAAGTAAATCAAACAATCAACTCTAACTGCGGAGAAAAAACCCCGGTATTTGGCTCATTGTCCAAGTTAATGAAATATATATAGTATGTAATATATATTCCTATTGCACCTAAACAGATAAGGATGCAGGCATAGCATAATGCAATAGCTTTAAAGTAATCACGAGGAGGAAAAAGATGCGAAGCTCAACAGCTCAAGAGCATTTGAGCCAACTTACATCTGATTTCTCAGATTCTGGAGTCAGATTACTGAGATGTGATATACACTTGTGAAGGTCTGTGGTATCTTGGTCATGAGATTCATTTATTGCATCACACCCCTGACAGCAGAAAACCGGCAACAATGTCAGCATTCGCATAAACCAAGAGAATCATGCACATTTAAAAAAGAATGTGAACCACATAGCACAGCTAAACATCCAAGTAAAATCCAAGTACATAGCAGAAAAAAGTATTAGCTCATGTTCTCAACCAACTGCCATAAGCAGCAGCGTACTAAAAGGGAAAAATAAATAAATAATTTTTTTTTTAACAAAAACGATCCAAAACGCAGAAATCAAGAATCACATATGTCTAACACAGGGTCAAGCAAAACAGTAATGGCTTTTAACAACTGCAATTCTATATAAGCAGATTGTCACCATGCAAGGGAACAGAAGCTATGGAGCTCAGTCGTGGTAATCAGTATCAGGGACCGATATGTCATATGTGTCCAGCTGCAAATATTGGTTATTTGGGGGTTTATTGCATGTTTCTGGTCCAATATATTGGTGCCCAACATACCTATGTTGAAACATGAGGTCTCTGACATGGGCACACACACACACACACAAAATAAATAAAATAAACTAATAAAACAAAATAAAGAAAGATACAATTGAAGACGTTGCAGCCATAAAGGCATGAATACATGAGAGTAAAAATTTAAACCCCATTCATAACAAGGAAAATTATAGTTTTTTTAGTTCAATCTATCCCCATGCACAGCACACAAGCACATATGACAACATCAATTACATAGAGCACAGAGCTACAATGTAAAGGTATGAAAATAAAATTAATTCTATGCTTGCAGTCAAAGATGCTAATTTCCGTAGACCCTTAATTGAGAACAAAAGGATAAGTCTAGATAGTACGAAGTATTTATTTAAACCACTATGATGTAAGCTTTTGTTTTGGAAATGAACTAAGTTCTCCACACCTAATCAAACCCATTAGATGAAAGATAAATAGATATTTATATACTATAACTGGTGACAGCATATATATATATATATATACAGAAAGCAAACAACCTTTTCTAAAGCATTATTCTTAAAATGACCCTATTGATAAAACCACTAACCAGATTTGTATAAAAATCCAGAATCTCTGCTCTGACGGAGTCCATGTCACCTTTAATTAAATCTGGCATATACCTGTAAACAATCCAAATCTTAAATCAATTTATGCAAACAAAATCTTAAGTGGCTACAAACACAAATAAAAGATCCAAGTAACAATCAAAACGACAGGTACATATACTATATTTCAAAGGGTAGCTAATGATCAACCATGTTTGTCAGTGCTTGTATAATTGAAATAAAACTAAATAAAATAACAGGATTTGCATGATTAATGGTAGCACTGCAATGATAAATACGAAATGTTTTAGAACTTTAGGGAATGTCTTGATCATGCAAGCATAAATGGTTCCATTTCAGCACCACACACACACACACACACACACACACACAAGGCAACTTCAAAGTTGATCCATATTGATTAATTCGATTCCAATTAACAGCTAAAGGCCTAAATCACAGTTCTCTAAGTATTCTCCCCAGGTTCAAATTAAATGATAGCAAATAGCATCTTCTTGCCCTTCAACATTTTCTATCCTTATCATTCCTTTAGTGTCTTCGAAACCAGGACAACTACTCATGATATTACACTCCAACCAATACAAAACATTTCGAGCATAAGTAAATCACATCCACCATTAAGTATAGCTATATGCCTAAAAGTATTACTGTCCCATAATCATGCACCCATTGCACGATGGACTGGTGTGGTAGTAACATGTCATTTCCTTCTTCCAAAATAAGACCCCCCCCCCTTTTCTCTTTTTTCACTATCATAATATACACATCTCAGAGATCAAACACATTTCAAAGCTTAACCTACTTAAGAGATAATAACCAACTCTAACCAATATCAAAGATCAATTCACACGATTTTTGAACCAAGGTCTATACTAGTACAGTTCCCTAAGAACCGCTTAGCTTTATTATAACTTGTATTTCAAATAATTGACAGCAAGTATTTTTCATGAAATACATGAGCAAGTCAAATCGCTATAGTAATTGTTAGACTCTTTTCCTCGATGCAGACAAAATGCCACATTAAGTAAATATATACACGGCTATTATATTCAATCAACCCCCAACAAACACACATTTATCACTCTATAAACCACCGTTCACTAATAATAACGAGGTCATTTAGGTATGCTGTTCATACTAATTAGCCTAATTGAAAGGATTAAGACATTTGACAAAATAAAGTGGCCAAAGACGCTAATTGAAATAGGGGTTTCACTGTTCTCCAAACAACAATCAAACATCATCTCAACCCTATGAGCTGTTAACAGGCAAGTTCATGCCAAGCAGTTTTCTTCAGGATTGTATTAAATGAATCTAATTGGTAACAAATGAAGCAGATCTTCCCACCACACCAGCAACTCAAACAGTGCAATGACTATGCTTAACTTCTACAAATACGTCACGTAGTCCGAGACTCCGGGTATGCGGATGCCAAGCCAAGTTGAACCAAATTCATACACCAAACTTAGAAATAAAGGAAGAAATAAACTAATTCAGAAAAATGGAGTAGCATAAAAATTCAACCTGAAGACGCTACTTTGGCGCATTACTCAAGCCAATTAATATAGCATTCAATCATTTTTATAACTACAAACCATCAACAAACTCAACCCAACATAATTGACCATTTAATCCACCTAAAATTACAAAATAAACCCAGTAAAATTTACATAAAATAAATTCATATTTATCATATTATATATATATATATATATATATATATAATTCTTAGAAATGCAGAGATTAAAATTAACCTTTTGCGAACATCAATGGGATTTTCAAGAGGGAAAAATTGGGGAATTTCATCAAATAAACGATTAGCTCCTCCATCTGCACAAATTCTTAATTTTGCTGTACTATACACAAATAAAACACCCAAATCAAAAATTAACCGCCAAAAATGAAAAACAAAATAAAACCCATGAGAATTGGAGGAAGAAAACGTACCATGGTCCCAAATAAGTGGGGCAAAACGAGGGAGACGCTGGTTAAGAATTACCATGGCGTATTTTAGCGAAGAACCCGGAATTGGTGGAAGAAGAAAAGAGGAAGAGTGTTGCATAATTTCCATATTATTATCACTGTAATAATAATGATGAGAAATTTCAGTGGATTAATTTGTTGGGATTTGTTGTTAAATTGGAGATCAGCCTAGTGTTTGTCAATGGCTTTTGTAGAAGAGAAAGTGATGTTTGAATGAATGAATGAATAGAATAAATATACTAGAATGAGGTGTTTGAAATGAATGAATATAGCATGAAATTATTCAAACTATGGCGGAATAGGTGGGTCTAAGATTTGATTTTCATACTTTCTCCGCTTCATATTAAATGACACATTTTATCTAGGCACATGTCAATACATACTTTATAATGCAAATATCCTTGATTATATATTAGCAAAAATTATAAAAATGTGATATTTATTAAAAACTAGATGTTGCAACGAATCTAACAAGACCCCATATAATTATGTTTTTTCTCATCACGAAATCACAAAACAAAGTCAAAGCAAGTCATATAAATAGTACACACAATCAAACTTTGTTATCTAATTTGAAATGGAAGAAGTATTTTAGTATCTTACTAATCCCTATGGCCCCATAGCGATTGACAAAACTATAGCTATGTTAAAACTTATTTATGGAGGGATTAATTAAGGTAAAGAGTCAATTAATTTACTTAAAAGCCCGTTAATTAAGGTGAGGATTGGGCACCAACAAGGCAACACCACCACCTATCCACCCTAACCACCCAAAACCCACCTCGAAGCCACCACAAACCGACCTAAATCCTACCTAACTATCCTGAAACGGAGAATGTGAGTTAGGGTTTTAAATTTTCTAATGAGGAATGAATTAAGTTATGTTACTATTTGCTTTTAAAAATAATAATTGAATTAAGTTAATTGAATTTTAAGTAAGGGTATGTTATTGATTTCATTTTAAAAAATGTACTATATAAGGGAAATTTAGTTTGTTGCAATATACCTTCCCTTTATAGCAAATGATGCACAAAATATGAAAAGGAGGTAAGTAGCATGAAATTCTTTTAACTATGGCATAATCGATGGGTCCAATATTTGATTTTTCGTAACTCAAAGCAATTTTACAAATCCGTATGGCCCCATACAATTGAAAATATGATGGTTATGTTAAAAGTTATTTACATTTTTGCTTTGATTTAAAACTTATTTACGAATTTGTCATTCACATTGGTTTGGATATGATTATTGACATTTTTTTTATTAAATTTGTAAAGTAAAACTGCTACTCACGATAACGATTTTACTATATTTTATATTATAAAATGGAAAAATTGTCCACAATAATCCGACCTTTATCTCATCCGCCCAAAATAATCCCGCTTTTCAATTATTTTTTAATAATCCGACTTTTAATGCCAATCATCTTAAAATGGTCTCAAGTGACCTGCAACCGGTTGAGGAGGTAATTTTTTTTAAAAGTTTAATTTTCACGTGTCACCCCTTGATTGGTAAAAGAAAATATATATATATATATATGTGTATATATATATATATATATATATATATATATATATATATATATATATATCAATCAAAATTACAACAAAAAAAAAAAAAAAAAAAAAATCTAATCGGACCGGGAAAAAACCACCGCCTAAGCCACACCACTTGAGCCACCACCATCCCCACCTGACCATACCCCACACCCACTTGACCGTACCTAATCGGACCGAAACTCCACCCCCAGCCCGAAACCGACTGCGCCGACCATTCCCAAGGCAAGAAGGCACCAACCCTAAGCCCATTCGAAACCCTACCAATACAGATTTCAAGAAACGGGGTGGTTGAAGGAAAGAGGGGTCAGAAGAGGGGGTAGGGGTGCGCCGCGCCGGGGGTCTGGGCAGCCAAAGGCGCAGGGAAGCCAGGAAATCGGACGGCGGGGATGGGGGCGGCAGGGAAGGTGGCTTGGGCTGGTGGAGTGGTTTTTCAAGTAATTAATTAATTTTTTTTTTTTAATTTTCTTAAAAAAAATTAAAATTTTTTTTTTTAATTTTTTTACTTATCGTAGGCCGACACGTGTCATCTAATCTGTTATAACAAGTTAGATAACCGGTTGGGACCATATAAAACAGATTGACATTAAAGGTGGGATTATTAAAAAATAATCGAAAGATGGGATTATTTTGGGCGGATGAGGCAATGGTCAGATTTTTCCGGCCAATTTTTCCTTATAAAATTCACTTTTTGGTCCCCACACTGTAACTTTCTTATAATTTTGTGTTGTGCAACATCTAGTATTGTGATTATTATAAAACAAATGGAGTATTGGAAAATAGAGGAAGTATGTGATAGATTGATAATCCTCGAAAAACGTTAATAATATTAGTACAATGACTAATTTAGTTGCAAGTTAAAATATAAACAAATGCTGATGTAAAAAAAATAAATATATATTTATATATATAAACAGATGATATGACATGAATGTCGATTCTTTGAAGGTGTCGGCAATAGTCTGAACTCTGAAGAATCATGCAATTAATAAACAAAAGAACATGGGAAACAGATGATTGTCAATATTGTGATTAATCATCAGTTATCAGTGCAATCTTCACATGAATAATAAAAAAAATACTTTCTCTAATACGAATATATGATGAGCCCGGTCCGGCTGACTGATATTATGTCGGCTTTGAGCAGAAAATTTTGGTCAGGCTCATAACCGCCTCTAAAATAGTGTCGAACACAAACTGTGGCAACTAATGCAGAACGGAGGGCACTTCAAATATTAAAGCATAACTTTTTTATTTGGCTTTACATTGACGTAGTTGTTTTGTATACCAATTTGCCAAAAATAAACCACAAAACAAAAGTATAGTATCAATTTATGTACTGTAACTAATATTGACAAACACGTTTTTTTTTTCCTACTTTACAATTTATCAAATTAGCAATTCAACCTTTTAATATGAACCTTTAAAAATTGGGTGGTTAAAATTATTATTCACATATTTCAAGAAGAATATAGTGAGGCGGATTAACTTGTGTTGAATTAGAGTGTTTTCAGACAGATAAACAGGCGGATTAATGCAAATTCTATTCAATTCTCTATCTCTATATTCTATGTTTTTAATTTTTCTTTGTAGCTGTTGTACCTTCTTTGTATCTTCCAATTTTGTGGTTACATTTTCATCATAAGTGTGTTCCTTTTGACTAGTTAATTGAAGAAAAAAGTTGTACAGTAAGTTTGATCATAAAATTGTGTAGAGATTGACGATGCAACTCTCAAGTATGAATATCTGCCAAACTATTATTTTTGCTTTTCTGTGAAGCAGTTCATCAAGTACTATTTTTGTAATTTGGTAATTGTAAGGTAGCCATTTGATGATTTTAATTGCTTTATTTTGTTCTTAACATGTTTTAATGCATAAAAAATAAAACAAGTTGTACAAATCAGATTCGGGTCACCAGTATTTTTAACCCATAAATAATACGTATTAAAAAATTAATAGGTCAAACGAGTTGGATTCGGGTCAACCTATTTATAAACAGGTCAAGAATACAAACTTGACCCAACCTGATTGCTACCCCTAGTTTTTATGTGTCAACTAATGTAGATCAAAAAGAGTGGTTTTCTTCCGCTCAAAACATCACTTGAGACTTGGAATACAATGCAAACGACGCTGTTTAGAACAAACCCCTTTATTAATTTTGACAGCAGAACATAATAGATAAACCCACATTCTTACTTGTAAGGTTCAAGTATTAGATCCATATTCTTTCTCAAAACAACATTATAAAAACCCTCGAAGCCACCTATCTGTTAACAGACCTATGCCGACGGTAAAATAAGGAACTCGACTTCTACCAATTACCTCTATTAACTCCATCAAAAAACTACAAACCCGACTGGCCTTCAAATGGTAGATCGAGCAATTAGAAATTAGCAAATTACAAGGAGCAACCAAAGACGGTTTCACCTAATGAGAGATGTGCTTTGCTTGGCTATCGCCCAAGAAAGACTACACAGCAAGCCAACTGCAGAATTCCCATATGTAGCTTGGGGAAGTAATGATACTGGATAGCAAGCAACTAGAATTAGAACAAAGTGTAGACATTTAGAACAAGGATATAAAACAGGGCCAAGATTAGCAGAAAATCATAATTTACATCAATATAACCCATTTCATCACTTCATTTCTCACGACATGTAATAACAATGGTACAACAAAAGGACAAAAGGTGGTATATGCTTATGTTGTCCATTTTGCAACCACAGAACTAGATTAAATGATTAAAATGCCCTGTAACCTTCATAAATATGATTAATGATTATATGAATATATATAAATCAAGTAATCCTTTGAACTATCTTTAAGTAACCTTAGTATCTGAGTACATAATTTACACTTCATACAACTGATTACAAGTGCCACTGAACCACAGTTAACCGCACAGCAACACTACAATTGATTACAAGTGCCACTAAACCACGGTTTACCGCACAGCAACAGTAATAATATATGATGATGAGAAATGGTTATGCCGTTACTGTACAAACAAAATGCAAGATTCGCTTATTAAAATTGCTCAGGATAGTATATACGGCAAATAGGTGTCGCTTTTGAAGCCAAAAAATTGTTGGGGGATAGAGAAGGGAACCTATAAGTTGCAACTGCTATACATTTGGCCGGAAAGGGAGGGTGGGAAGAGAAATCTGGCTAAATATGATACAAAGAGGATACAAGAGGCTTTGGTGCAAGGACCTTTTGAGATGGGGGTAGCCACCATGTCAGTCTCATTTGAACGGGGAACAGATGACGGGAAAATTTTGAGCGGCTGCTTATCTAAATTACGGATCTTCATCTTACTATATAAGACAAATACCTCTTCTATATGAAATAGCTCAGGAGTTTCTCTTCCTTGATCCACCTTCACCATATAATTCATTCCATTGCAGGAGCTAAGCTCGTCTAAATTAAGGATCTTCATCTCACTATATAAGACAAATACCTCGTCTACATGAAATAGCTTAGGGAGCTTCTTTTCCTTGATCCTCCTTCACCATATAAGTCATTCCACTGCATGAGCTCATTCATGTTGGTGGACTCTGCTGAGAAGCTTGCACACACCTACATTCCATCACAATAATATCAGTAACAATCTCATAAATGACGGATCATATAATGACATCACAAATACAATAAATAACTATATAAGCCATCAGCAGTCCAACATTGCAACGTTATTATCAGCAACAATCTCTATAAACATATAACTATAACTTC